TTGCTTTGGCTTTGGGTAGCACTGGCGCTGCCGTGTTTCATCTTCATGATCGGCGTTTCCCTTTCCTTTCTTCTTTTCTGCTGGTGCCGCATTCTTGTTGCTGCTCAGCAAGTTCTTGACCGACGTCTCTTTCATGTCGTAGACGTAGTCTTCGCGATCAGTCCCAAGTTGTCGATCAATCAGGGAAACGGTAGGTCTTCTCAGGGTGTGCATCCGGTAACCGCGCATATGTATTAAGACCAAACTCCAGCTTCCTGCTTCCTTTGATCTTGTGATATAGGATGTCCCGTAGCATGATCTCTCTGGGTGTATCCTCCTTCCTCAGGTTGAGCAAGATATCACTTGTTGCGGAACACGGACATGTTCTTGTCCCCGGGGTATTCCAGTCTGATCCAGCGCTCGATTGTGAAAACCATATCTGATCGGTCACTCGATCTGAAGGATTGCAAGATGATAGCGATGATCTCTCTTCCCTGATTAATCTGTTTTCTCTTTGGCGTCGTTCGGCATGCAACTGAATATAATGTACCACGTCCTTCGCATCATCAGGCGCGCTTCTGAGCATTGTCTGGAGCGATAGGGCCAGCTTAATATCCATCATTGCGAATCGTTCGCCACCCGAATCGGCTAAGAAATCAAGGTCAGGATTTGCCACGAAAACACATGCCAACCATGACATCCATACTTCGATATCACGATCTGCTGAAGCGCGGGTGACGTTCATGGTGAGTGCCATCTTCCAGCCGTCCAGCTTCGTGATCTTCGGCCATGGGGGTACGTTGACTTTCTCTTCTGACTTCTGCGATCTCCCGACCTCCTTCTTCGTGATGATCTCCTGTTGCGACGACGGCCATCATCATCGTCATCGGATGGTTCTTCTTCGTCGTCCTCGTCTCCATCATCATCGTCATCAGGTGGATCAAGTGGATTTGGTCCTCCTGCTGCAGCTGGGACAGGAACACATCCTAGACCCCCCACATTTCCATCTGTATTGCGATAACCGAGACCAGGTGGACCGCCATCTCCATGAGAATAGATCCTACTGCTTCATGGAGTTGGTCGATATGAGCCTGTATCATTGGATCTTGATAAGCAGGAAACAAAACAGAACCCGGTCCAAGGCTGTCATCAATTGGCTTTGGAACATTGGGTGCCTGAACACTAGAACTAGATGCTGCCACAGTAGCCTGATAGAGCAATACCTGACCTTGTTGTTGAGGCCCATTTGTGGTATCACTCTTACGGGTCTTCGAATTATGGCATTTACTGGTCCTATCAGAATCATCGCTCACTAGAGCTCGTCCACGATCATTGGAGTCCGCCACAACGATGCTTTGAGCGGCGTTCTCACTCTCGAGCTCCTTGTTCGTCTCTGCCTCTTGGATCTTGAGCCGTGTCTCTTCAACCTCTTCGGCCATTGCAGCGATCTGATTGAGGTAGTCGGATTGCGCACCTTGATGCAGCGAGTTCGCGAGTCACGTCGTCGAACTCCCGATCCCTCAGCGTGGCGCGTTCATGTAATGCATTTCCTTTATGAGCTCGATCTCTTGCAATCTTGATCTCCTCATTCATCTTTGCGTCACGTTCCTGCGCTGCACGCTGGCCGATCAGATGCATCTCGTCCCGGTCGCTCACGGCTGTTTCCAATCTCTCACGCAAACCACGAATAGTGCTCTCCTCGTTCTGCGAGTCCGTAGTGATCTTCACCCGATAGGAGTTGATCATTGATTGGTACTGTGCAATCTCAGAAGAAACGCTTCTCCTCTCTTGCTCAGCTTTGTTCTTGCTAACCAATGTGCTTTCCTCCTCGCATCTGATTAGATGTTCAAGCAGATCAACGGTTGCGACCATCTCTTGATGTCGCTTCTCGTACTCGAGGACTTTGTGTCGGGCGTCTTCTTGGTACTCTCCGTAGATCCTCACAAAATGTTGCGCTTGATCTTCGGCTAGTTTTGTCTTCCCACGTAGCCTCTTCCACTTCCTGCCTGAGGGTCTTGTTCTCCTGAGTGATCTTTGACGGACTTGAGCCTGTAGGCGACTTCGATCGCCCTTTCTGTTTTCTAAGTTTTTTTATATACAGGACTCATGACGCCTTTCACGCTCCTTCTCGGTGCCGATAACGAAGCTGATGACGATCTCTTCTTTTCTCCGTCCCTGGACCACACAGCATGACCAACTTCTTTCCAGGATGAATGTGATTGGTCGTGGCTAATACCAGAACTTGCACTTTGTTGTGTATCCGGAGAGTCCGCGATTGCCGGCACAGCAGACATACCTGTGGAACCGCTGGAGCTGTCATTTCCAAAGGTTGCAGTTCCTGGGCTTCCGGAAGAATCCATTGTACGGCTGTAAATATGATTTCAAAAGGTTGTATTACACCGCAGTTGCAGCCCACCGCTGGGACCAATTGTAAGCTTACGGCTGATAACCTGCCAAGAGGCGAATCAACCACGAAGTCAATGGGAAGGCAGTTGGGGTTCGAATCCCGTGTGACCACTACCCTCGGCTGTGGAGTCGTGTAGTAGGGGTCGGTGTAAATAGGGGGTGTAAGGATAATATGGCCTGCGTTGTCTCACAACCAACTGCGACAGCGGAGCACAGTCCGTCTGCCTCTTTACAGCTTTCCGTTGGATATTTGTTTTGATCCACTTATCAAGAACTTGAGCCAAAGCATCCATATGCATGAGTCGGGTGTTCACACAACAACATCCCCGCAAAGTTTTGAGGGACTATAAAGGAGGGGAATAGAACAGGGTGACCCTCAGAACCTGCCCTTGGCATTTTGGCCTGTGGCCCGGAGATTCTTAGCACGTTCCTATCTCCAACCATGCAACCTAGAAAGCGCGGAGACGGCAACTTGACCAAAGCACGCGCGCAGAGCACTTGCGACGAGCCACTTGCAAAGAATACCTTGCGTGCAGAGTTTGCGCAGGGGCAGAGGCCGACGTGCGGACCAGAGCAACTTGCACAGAGCAACTTGCATAGAGCACTCGAAAAGAGCTACTGTGCTTGAAAAGAGCCACCTGGACAGAGAAGTTGCGCAAAGCAACTGCACAAGGCAATTTGTCAAGTAGCCCTTGGCAAAAAATCCTTGCAGCCCCACATGCTGTTTAGCACCTCGAGTCTGTTTAGCCTTGTTCTCTTTTACGGCCTGCATTTTCGCAACCGGAATACAACAGATCAAGCGACTCAAATATATCGACCCAACCCAAGTGATTGAAGCCTGGCGCAACAGCCGCAACGTGTGTAAAGAGAGACGACCGCCACCTGCACGACTGCAGAAAAGTCTGCATCTCAAACGAGGACACGCTGACACAGACTTGCGCAGCTGAAGTTACTACCACTATCAACTCTTTCGTGAGACCTTTGCGGGCCAAGTGACCTAAGTGACGCGACTGACAGTGGACACTTGTGCGCGGCAACAGTGGAAACGCTTCCGTGCCCACAGGGAAGACTTGTGTGAGCCGTGAACACGCTGATGCGCCAACGAGAAACTATCTTGTGCGCCGAAATTGGACCTCTTATGCGCCAACAAGGAACATTCTTGCGCGCCAACAGTGAGCACGCTTGTGCGCCAACAAAGAACACATTTATGCCGACAATGGACACGCTTATGCGGAGGCGCTTATGCGAGCATGGCGAGCATCGGCCCGGCGGTCTGGCAGCACTGGGAGACAAATGAACGCATGTGCCGAAAAAGCAACCACATGCGCGCACTGGCGAACATACAGCCCGATGAACTTAATGAGATACAAGTAAATACGCTGGAAAGCATGCGACCCGACGATCTGGCAGCACTGGGAGACAAACGAAGGCACATATTGGAAGACAAGCAAATGCGCACGGCCCGGCGATCTGGCCACACGAAGGCACATTTTGGGAGACCAGCAAATGCGCACACTGGCGATCTGGCAGTACTGAAAGACAAATGACGGCACACTGGCAAGCATGCGGCCGCGCGATCTGGCATGGCAGCGCTGGAAAATCTCTCTCTCTCTCTCTCTCTCTCTCTCTCTCTCTCTCTCTCTCTCTCTCTCCACAGCTGTCGGACGGTCAGTCCTTGCTGAGCAGGGGGCCGCATTCAGACCCCGGCATCTGCACTGAGCACAAGACAGGCTGGCATGACGCCAGCGCTGGAGACCAGGAAGAAACATGTGTCCGCAGGTTACTGAAGCGTGTCAAGCATGTCCTGGATCTGAGACAAGTTTCTGCGCACGCTGGAAAGCATGCGACCCGACGATCTGGCGGCACTGGGAGACGGCGATCTGCCAGCAGTGGGAGAAACATGAAGGCACATACTTGGAGACAAGTAAATGCGCACGCTGGCAAACATGCGGCCCGGCTATCTGGCAGCCTTGGACATGGAGGCCCATTCGGAAAAAATATATACACACACGCTGGCGAGCATGCTGCCCAGCGATCTGGCAGACAAGTAAACTCACGTGCTGGGAGACATGTAAATGCGCCCTGGAAGCACTGGGACACACATGACGGCGTTCTGGGAGACAAGCAAATGCGCACACTCTGGCAGCACGGGGAGACAATGAAGGCACATGTTGGAAGACAAGTAAATGCGCACACTGACAAGCATGCGGACGGCGATCTGGCAGCACTGGGACACACGTGAAAGCGTACTGGGAGACAAGTACACTGGCAAGCATGTGGCCCGGCGATCCGGTAGCATGCGGCCCGTTCTTTTTAGAAGAATAAGAACCCCAACAGTAAGCTGATTGGGGAACAAAGGGGAAGCTTACTTGAGACGACGGGCCCAGGCGATCCAACTCACCCGTGCAAACCAATTAACCCAAGTAACGCAAGTGACCTGAGGTGCTAAATGCCCGCCTGTGACAAATAAAAGTCTATATCCAGAAAGGGACTAAGGATACAGATCCAAAGCAAGGCAGACTCGCAATGGCAGAGCAAGTCTGCGTCTCCAGCAAAAGATACATTTTTCGGGCTAGAGACTCCGTGTCCCGCAAGCGCCCTAACACAGCGATGGCCTTCTTCTCGCTCGGCTCCTCCTCTCCGCCGTCCAATTTAGAAGGACTGGTCAGCCTCTGCAATTCTCTAGTAACGACACGGCACAGCTTGCTTGGAGCAGCCGTCTTCGATAGCGCAGCTGAACTGAGTTTCAAGCACTTCCTGCTTCTTGTCCTTCTTGTCCTTGCGCTTGGCCCCACAGGGTCAAAAGCTCACATTTGCTGGGAGTTCATAGTCAGCCATTAACTCATTAAAGCCATTTCCAGAACAACACACCCGCGACACACACACACACACATACCGCACAACGCACGCACGCACGCAACGCACACACACACGATGCAGCCACAAGCAAAGCCAGAACATTGCAAAGCAGAAAAACAACAAACTTGTCTCGCAGCATGATGCCGTCTGGCTTAAGGGAGCCTTCTGCTCCGTAGGTGTGTCTGGCTACTGCGTCTCCCTCGGCCCCCCTAACGCCTTCTTCTCACTCGGCTTGTCCTCTCCACCGTCCAGTTTGGAAGGACTGGTCAGCCTTTGCCGTTCCACGCGACAACACGCACACAGCTTGCTGGAGCAGCTGTCTGCTGCATAACGCAGCTCAGCTGCGTTTCAAGCGCTTCCTGCGTCCTGTCTTTCTTGTCCTTGCGCTTGGCCTCAACCGCCCACAGCGTCAAGAGCCCAGGGGGCCTCAATTGGGTATGGCCTGCGCGCACGCACCCATAAGACGATAAGACGAACGCACACTTCTGAGGAATTTTGGCAATTGGTCTAGAAAAGGGTTTGGATGCTTTTGTGGGTTCACCTCTGTTGGATTATAGAGTACTAAAGGATTGTAGAACAAATGAAATGCACACGAAAATCGTCCAAGGCGTTGTCTAGACTTTTCTCACACATGGATCCTTTGTCGCCGCGGTTGCAGTCGAGCCATCAAGTGGCCGCAAACTCAACGACAACCAACACACCAGCACACGCAACATAAAACCGACAAGTTTGACGCCAGATGGCTTCAACAAGCCTTGCGCTACTGCGTCTCCCTTGGCCCACCCTACGCTCACGCAGGATGGCCTTCTTCTCACTCGCCTTGTCCTCTCCACCCTCCAATTTGGAAGGACTGGTCAGCCTCTGCAACTCCCTAGAAATAATGCGCACACAGCCTGCTGGAGCCGCTGTCTTTGGCAAAGCGCAGCTGAGCTGAGTTTCAAGCACTTCCCGCGTCTTGTCCTTCTTGTCCTTGGACTTGGCCTGGACGTCTATCAAACAATGTGAAACTCATTGAAAATGACCTGTTGGCAAAATGTCTCCTTCTCGCAGGCAGCATGCGCCAGCTGACCATTTTGCCTCAGCATCCCACAGCGGATACCCAGCAGCCAGCCATGTCGGCCAGATGTTCTAGACGCGCAAGTTTTAGCTCCACAAGGCGCTGCGCAACATGACAGGCAGTCAAGCAACGCGAGGCGATGGTGAATAGCTGCTAGCAGAGACGCAGGAGACTACAAAGTTCCGCATGGGAGCACTCTTGGGCTTTCCATGAGATTCTTCACACGCCGTGGGGAGGGCCTTGAAAACGCAACCTCAAATTTGCGGGGGCGCTAACATTCTTGCTCCAGAGACTGCGTGCTCGAATTGGAACCAGCGGCAACACGCTGCGCAAGCATCCGAGGGAACAAGGCACCAATCTCCGAATGATAGATCGACCATGCAAAGCATGGCACCAAAACTCCCACCCAGGGGGGTCAAAAGGCCTAAAAGCGGTTTTATTCATCGCTTTGGAAACAAGTCTGCCCCCTTTGTTTCCCCCAAAATAAAAGAAAACTGCCACGGCACGAAATCAACAGGGATCCAACAAGAAGAAACATAACTAAGTATGTCCAAGGGCATCGTTTTTTGAGAGCCCCCTATCGTCTGCCATCGTTTTGTGCATATCCACAACATCAATGAAACACCGTGTCAAGAGACGGCAAGGTGACGTCCCGTGGGACGCTGTGCACCGAACCCTCAAGCTTCAATACCAACCACGTAGAAAGGTGTATACGGACGTTGCCGTTATAGCCGAACCCGTGTAAACGTTGTAAGGAAGAAGGGATGATAGTCACAACAGTAGTCCTGACGGTGCGGCGCGAGCAGTCGTTTTCCTCCTAATGCCAATCACGGATATCCGCAGTCACACATCAGATCTTGAACCTCAATTGTGTCTTGAGCCAAATGGCGATCAATGGAACTTGGGAAGCAACACCAACAAGGACCTCAGAACAGCTACCCAATTTCGGCACGGGGCCTAGAGGGTTTTAACATCCCCCATTTGGGTCGCATTGTTCATCATGCGGTCCAAACACAACAAAACGTTCCACTGGCCACGGCTTCAACTACGAAATCGTGTCGTGCATTCTTTTACTTGCTATCACTACACCGTTCATTCGCTGTGAAACATGCCGGGTTCGATTGTACGAAAAGTGAAACATTCATCCTCCAATCGAAGCACTCATCCATATGCAGGTGTATGTAATACACTGTGGCCACTTCACTTGACCGCCAGTGAACATTCCAGCTGCCGCATTTGCGCATCGCGCAGCTGTCATCCATAAATGGGTTGGCCACAAATGTCCACCATGCGCGCCCGCTTGTGATCGGTCTGCATATCTCCGGCAAAGAAACATCGGTGAGTAATCAATGCAAATAAAAGCCATTCCAGATACCATGGACAATGCATAAATAATGAAAAGATATCATCTATAAGGTAATAATTCCATCCATGAATATCCAGAGCGTCATAGTCGTCGGAATATGTAACCATGTACACATCCATTCATCTTGGACACATGAATATAAATCATGACATAAGTCGTTCCACCGAAACAGTGTCGATGTTACGCAAGTAACAGATGGGGACTGGCCCACATCGTACCGCAATCATCATCTTCACGAAGCATACCTGTCCCCGAAGGACAGCCTATGGGTACGTCGGCGGAACTCCTCGTCCAAGTTCTTCTGGGCTTCTCGTGCCCGGACACACTTCTTGTTGTAGTCCTCTGGTAACCAGTGCCCTTTCCGAAGGCACCAATCCAGCAGGGGTGTGTCGCATTTGTTCGGGTCGACGGCCGAGATGATGGCGCTCACGTTGACCGCGTAGCCATGCTTGCCAAGGTTTAGGCCATCCCTCACGAATGATATATACTTACAGTTGAAAGCAAGTGCAAAACATCTGAAAATAATATCACCCACCGGGTGCACTCGGTCCTTGACCAGGAGCTTCATTTCTTCCTTGGTGACATCGAGGATCCTTGCAGCAATCCACAGCTTGTAGAATGTGTATAGTCCCTCGCATTTGTTCACCATCATACGAATATATTCGTCACGCTCCTCAACCGATCGGAAGGCTCTTGTCCGAGCATTCTCCGATTGAGAAATCTTCGTTATTGTTGATGGCAAAAGTATACCTTCCTGATCATGCTCAGTGATGTTGGGGTACCTCCTGAAGTCATTGTGGTAAGGGCAGCCATCTCTCCCCTCGAGCTTGGCAATCATCGTTCTATCCTCACCACCTTCAAACATCCCCCACATCTTGGACAGCTGGAGTGCGATAAATCCTGCCATGTACTGAGCCTCACGCGGCTCGTCAAGGCAGATCGCCATCCGTTGGGAACTTATTATGTCCCGTGACGTCAGATCGGTGTCGCGGTAATGCCAACCGCCGTCTTCTTCTTCTGACGCATAGCCGGATGTATATCCTTGCGTGTCCATGTCGTCATCTTCTCCCTGAACTTCCTCCGCTTCGTCCTCATCCTCCTGTGCTGCCGCATCGTGGTTAGCTTCTTCCTGTGCACGCCTGGCATCTCCAGAGACGTTGGGGTTTTGGTTGTCCTCCTCGTCATCGGAATTGATGTGAATGCAGTATCTTCCGATGGAGATCAGTTGTGCCTCGCACTCCAGACATAAGCAGAAGCAGGTGGGGATCGCGGTCGCACATGATGGACATATCCGGCACCTCAGTCCTTCCCATGTCTCATCATTCAGGATGACGACTTTGCTGACTTCGTCCCGGACATCGTTGACCTGTGCGTTGAACTCTTCCATCTTGTTGTTTCGATAGAGTTCGCAAGCACGATTAACCATGTCAACGATGTAGTGCAGATTATCGGAACCTGTCTCAGTCTCCGGCATCCTCTCGCTGATCTTTGCGACGTTCTGGAGGAACATCGCAGCCGACTCTTGGGAAGAGTTGACAAAGCCAGGGCAGATCTCGTTCTCCACACACTTCGAGTACGCCCTCATGATGTCAGCGTACTCCAGGCGCTTCCCTCCGTTGCTTTTGCCAATCCAAATGGACTTGACCTCATAGAACGGGATCACGTCAAAGACCATGAAAGTCCCATTAGCCGCGACTCCAGCCCCATACCGCGCGAGGGTTGCACTGGGAATATAGATGATCGCAATCGGATCCCCTATCCTCACGTTCCGTAGCGTTGTCTTCGTCGCCACGTTCATCTCCTCCCATGGAGCAAACGCCCCGAAGTGCAGTGCTAGCCTGTTACCGCCATCGATTCCGCCGGGGACTAGCCCACAGCGTACGATGCTTGGCAGGTTTTCCACATACGTCACATGGAATGCTCCTCCGAGAGTATCACCCATTCTTGCTGAATACCTATTCGCCAGTGCGGATGAGCTCATGAATCCAAAATCACTGTGACCGGTTGTGACTCGGATGCACCAAGGTCTGTACCATCCATCGCATCTGTTGAACATCCTGTCGATGTCGTCCCGATCCACGCCAGCCTTGGTCATTTCCTCCCTGGCTGCCCTCGTGTCGTTCGGGTTCATGATGCACGGAAACCTTGCTGCCAGAACCTGGAATCTCGATTTCTTGCTTCCGGATTCCTGCCACTTGATCACCTCCATGATGCCCATGTATCGTTTCGCTCTCGAGGTGTTAGGTGGGAATATGTCGTTGTTTCGGTCGTCAATGACAGCATCAATGTCGACCCATCCACCCTCGTCGCACCTGAAAGCACTTCCTCGGCAATTGCCGATCTTGTGTCGAAGGACTCAGCATAGGTCGTGAGATAGCTGGTTTGCTTGGTCCCTTGTAGTAAATACCGAGCGATCATCACCAATCCTGCATAGTGGAGCACCGTCGAAAGGAGCAATGCAAAAGTTGACACTCTTGCCAAGTTGCATCACATCCACTTGCTCAAGGATTGCACCTCTGGGAAAGTACCTGGGGTCAACAATAGACGCGTATGCCCGTGGCATATGCACATCGATCACGTCGCCGTACTTCGGGATGTAGCACGGGATGGTGTCGCATCCCATCTCAAGCGTCTTCTTGAATGTCCTGCTGTCCCCGCACGGGTTGTAGGTGAGGTCGACGCCACCACATTGTAGCTCTCCTCCCTCAGCCGTGTCAGCCATCTCCACCAAATTAATAGTGTAGCTGTACATCTCAATGGTTTCTTTCCCTGCTTGTCCCCCTTTCTTTCTTTCCTTGGACGTTGATGAGGACGGTTCCTCCGTATCCCCCATGTCTTCATCAGATGAAACAGGGTCACTGCTGAGTAGCTCACGGAGCACCTTCATCGCCTTCTCATTTCCAGCAGCCTCCTCAATGTCCTTGCAGTCACCGTCGTGGGCCAGGTTCGCGCCCTTCTTACAGATCCCCATATCCCCCATGCACTTCTCCATTGACTCCAGGAATCCTAGTGCCGCTCTCCGCCCGTCGATCACACGCTGCTTCTTGTCCTCCTTCTCAGTATTGGCTTGAGAACTTCGACTCGGGTCTGGTGCTTGACCAAGACCCTCATCTCCGCCCTCCGTGGCCTTTCTCTTGGACCCTTGTGCAGAGGGCTCGGTGATCAGGGATCGTGGATGTCTGGGCTTGACCTTGTTCATGATGTCAAGCACCTCCTTCGTGGGCACGCCGAGCTGTGCGGACGGTTTGTACCGCTTTCTGTTCTGGCCCGTCGTGTGGGTCACGTTCCCAGCGAGGTGTCGCACTATTGACTGCTCGAACTCCCTCTTGATCTTCCATGCATCCTTCCACAGCGGCAGTTCGTGCTGGAAGTACGACATCACCTCAAAGAATCCCAACACCATCTCGACGACGTCTCCCAAGGACTCCTCGTTCGTGGTTTGTCCCAGGAGCTCATACATCGTCCCTTGGTCGAGCACACTCTTGATCCATGACGAATATGCCACATTGCCGAGATCCTTGCCTATCAAGAAGATGGACATCCTCTCCTCGACTCCCTCGGAGTTCTTGCACACGATCACATCCCGGGATGCGCATAATTGCTTCCCGTGACCGTTGTTATAGAACTGCGCTGCTTGATCCACGGTCATACTCACGAATCCC